AGACTCAGGCAAAGAGCTTGTATTTTAACCTGGTTGATAAAGCCAGGCTTTGCTTTAACCTGCTCTTGAGCACTCCTGACTTCACTTAATGAATCTGCCTTTACCCTTTCCTAAATTCCTCTCTACTAGGACTGGGGCAAGGCGAGGTCTCCTTTAGGATGATCTCCTTGGACCCCATCCAGCCACAAAGGCAGAAGGTCCTGTGAACACTTAACAGATCCCAAGATGGGGAGGGAGACAGGCTCTGAATACCAGGCTTGCAACTCAGGGGAAGGTGGGAGCCAGGCTTATCTTGGAGAAGGAAATTCCCAGAAGGCAGAGAAGAGGAATCGCAGCCAGTCAGATAGTGAGAGGCCTCTTCGCCAGAGTCTGGCTCCAGATGGCTGGGTGGGGCCTTAATCTTCTGGAGCCACCGTGCCACACCCGGGAGGCTGGCAGCTGACTCTAGGAGGACATTTTAAGAGTGGCAGGAAGGGAGGATGTTTTGTGCCATTAAGAAATATCCCAGCTTCCTGTGAAAGGCTTCTTCTCCAGGTAATTTGCACAGGTGGAAGGAGGGATCCCAGGGTGGCAATGCCCAGCATTCCAGACGGCACTGAGGCCCTCAGAGAAAGTGATGGATGTGGCTTGGGGAAGGACAGCGATCAGACAGGGCCCCTTGGGTGGAGCCCTGTCTGGGAAACAGGGAGTGGCTTGCAGGAAATTCCTGAAAACCACAGGCTGCACCAGGCCCAGGACAGCTCAGCCTGGGTAGCCCGGAAGCTGGAAAGAAGGAAGTCATAGGAAGGCCGTGACCCCAGGGTCACAGAGGAGGAAGCTACATTGCTGAAAAGCTGTGCATAACGGAGGAAAGCCAGGCCTGAGAAAGGACTTCTGCGCCACCATGCCTCTGCAGATGTGGAGGAATGTGGAACACAAAGGACTCATCTCCCCAAGGTGCACCTCTGGACAACCTATATTTCCCAGATGGCCCCTTCCTTCAACACCATGGTCATCAGAGGCCACAGGAGGAAGAAAGGCATGGCTGCTCTTCACAAATGAAGGTCACCCAGCCCCTAGTGAGATGAAACCGGATGAAACGGAGGGGAAGGGACAATGGCCTTAGGCCACCCCTATAAATGCCTCCATTACCGCAGGACTTGCCCAGCACAGGAGCATGGTCCTCCCCCGCCCCTTGCCTGCAGGTGCAAAGCCTTCCTGGTCAAAGGGAATCAAAAGAAGGCTTTTCGACAGATCTACTGCAATCAGTACTGTTTTCATTACATCACTACCCAACATTGTGATTTAAACATTTATCCTGTGGCCCGGGATGCTAAAGGGGATGCTTTAGCATCTGCTCTGGGGATGGCTAAAGAGTCTTCAGCAGCGAAGTTGTCATCCCTTCTAGGGACTAAGGGCCACTTGGTAGGAGGAATAAAAAGGCACTAAATATTACTCCCAGTTCTAAAGCCCACACTGCCAGGCATGGTGGTGCAAGCCTGTAATCCCAGTATTATGGAGGTTGAAGCAGGAGGATCACAAGTTTGAGGCCAGCCTGGGCTACATACCAAGACCCTGTCTCAACAAACAAACCAACCCACATTCATGGCTCTGCTGATGTCATCAACGGGAATTTCTTTTATCTAAGAATCAGTGTTTTAAGATTCCAACATACTGAAGCTGATGAGATAGCTGGTCACTCAGCATAGTATTTTCCTCCCAGAATGAGTACTTCTCTTTAATCTCCAGTCCACTTCTGGCATATTGAGAGTAACTGAAGGAGGATTATTCTGTCTGTTTTTACTCTAGGAAGTGATCTGCTCCCTAACCCTGAATGTAAAGACTAATCAGGAAAACACTACCTGTAATTCACAAACTGTCATGCTCAGAAGAGTATTAAAAGAAACAATTGGCTCTGAGTTAAAAGGATTGAGCACAAATTCAGCCACTGGCACCTGGGTCATCTGAGGGTGAGATGCTTTATAACTCTGATCCTGATTTTCCTCGTGTGGAATGCAGTAATAATAATATTGCTGGGCTTGGTACACAACTGTAATCAGCATTCCTGGGAAGGTAAAGCAGGAGGATCTCAAGTTGGAACTCAGCCTGGGCAACCTAGTGACTTAGCAAGATGTTGCCTCAAGATTTAAAAAAAAAAAGGACTTAGGATGAGCTCAGTGCATAGACCCTGGGTTCAATCCCTAGGACACATAAACACACACACACACACACACACACACACACACACACACACAATAATCAGGGTCTCAGAGATTGATGCAAACATTAAATGAGATCATGTATGTGTAGGGGTCTCGTCCAACCCCAGGACCTACCTGGCATTTAATTAAAATGTGATCTACCATAAGTAGCACAGTATTATTCATTGTTGCTGCAAATACTCCTGAAGGATTTGGAATTTGCCTTGACACTGAAAAACAGGGATGAATGGAGACCTGGGCCTGCTCTATTAGGAGCAGCATCATGCTGGTTGTACAAACATAATGACCAGTATAAGAGATACCTTCTTCCTCCTGTGTCCAGCTCAAGGAGTCTGAAATCTAGAAAGCCACAGCTTGTGTCCAGAAAGCAAGTTTGGCCGGTTTGCCAGCTTGCAGCTGCCTCCTAGACTGCACAAGCTGTTGCACGAGGCACCTGCAGAGCTGGTGTTGGAGCCCGTGTCCCACAGCAGGCACTCTGGAGGCACAGGGAGCAGCTTTTTGCCCAGAAAAACAACTCAAACCAGTGCTAACTAACAAAGGGAGGCTCACACACATGTACATAGCCTTCCAGTTATGTAAGACAGCCACAGGACTCCAGGGGCATCTGAGGGCCCAGGGCCTCGGCCAAAGATTAGGCTGCAACAGGTGGAGAGCAGGAAAGGTCTCCCAATCAGTACAGCAGGCATGGGGGCGGGTCCAGGCAAGTCCTCTCTTTGTTTTCTCCCTTCCTTCAGGACTAGGAGGAGGCAGGATTATTTGAGAAAAAGCTCTGACTGCACTAAGGAGGGGAAAGGGTCCAGAGCAAGGCAAAGTAGAGGCCCAACATACCCCAGTATACCCCTGTTGTTCTGAACTGTTATATATGACTCTGGCAAGGAAGAAGAGAACAATCGGTCCTATTAGAGCTGAGAGTAGGGTAGTTTGTTCAGAAACAAACTAAATGATGCTGTGCAGGCAATCAGGTTGGGGGCAGGGGGGATCTTCCAGACCATGCAAGAAGGCTGCTGTCATTCTCCATCATTGAGATTTGGAGACGCCTCCACACTGGTTGGCACAATCCTCTGTCCTGCGCCCTTGCTGCTTGCCTGCCATGCTGGCTGCCACGCTAGCTGCCACAACTCCTTCTTCAGGACCTCGGACTTCCCCTCCCCTCAATGTCTAGCTCCACGGGATGACACTGTCACCACAGGGAACTTCCAGGATCCTGCTATGGTCCATTGGTCAGGCTAGCTGTGAAATGCTTTTGAAGACCACTCCTGACCCAGGCAGCTTAGCGATCAATGTGGTTTTTAGAGGTGGACACTCAAAGTGTCACAAATACTAGTAGATATGTTGCTTTCTTTCAGTGCATATGTCTTTAAATTTTTTGTTTTTCTTTGACTTTTTTCAGACCTATGTCTTTTCCAAACTCTAAAGCCCTGCAGCTCCCCCATCTTTCCTTTCTTAATGCCCTTGGCATCCACCATAAGGCTGGTGTGGCTTCTAGGACACAGTTCACTTGCAACTCTAGGACTGAGCTGCCATCTTCAAGCAGAGCAAAAGCACTGGGCAGAGAGAGCAGCCTCCCCCAGTCCAGAGGGGGCAGCCAACTCGGCCAGGCGCACCACTCCTGGCCACCCTTTCTTTTATTGACTCCAAACTAGGACACCCTTGCAACTCAAACAACAAAGCCCCCAAAGCTTGGAGCTACACACTGAATACTGTGACTTTCGAGTCCTTGTTTCCTTTCTGTGTATTAATCAAGTAACTCATCATATAATAATTTGGTAGGAATCAAACCAGTAAAGTCAGAGTGAGAATACAATATTAACAGCATCATATGCTTGATGACTGTCTTCCTCTCTAACACACACACACAGGCACAAGTCCTAAACTGGGAGGAGTTCTAATCAGCCTGCTCCTTATTTGGGGTAGACACTAGAGAGAAAGCAATAGGGTTAAGTTGTTACAGCTGCTCTGGAGCCGTGGTATTGAGTCAGGGCTTGTGCGTTTTTAATGTGCAACTGCCAGTATTATATGTACCTTACTGAAGACACAGGAGAAATGTACAGCTGTAGTAAATTACCAGGACACAGAGGGGAATATAATCTACATCATCCTCCCTAGGAGACAAGAGGCCTAAGGAACAGGTGCACTGCTCCGGAACAGCGGACAGGAAACCTTCGACTGTCACCAGGCCAACTGGTCACCACAAAGAGTCTTGCCTGGAATAACACAAACAAGCAGGGTTTTCCTGCTCCCCCCAGGAAGAGCGGAGCAGCAGGAGACCAGCTGTCTAGCTGTGTGCAGTCCCCACGCCAGCTTCCCACAGCAAGATGAGTCCCTGAGAGGAGGCGGTGGGGAATCAAAGACGCATCCAGACCCCTGCCCCGCCATGACACCTGATACCAGTTTCTGAGGCTCAGAATTAAGCAGGCATAGACAGCAAAGGTCAAAATAGCTTCAGATCTTAAAACACACAGAACTCTGTATCATTTTGGTTTTCTTAAGCATTTAGGGGTTTTTTTTTACTTGTTGGGTTTGATTTGAAATTAATGCCTGTACAACAGGAAATCCACTCCCATGCAAAAACCAAGTCATGCGGAATTTTTGAAAACTGCCATACAGTACCATCCCTTGTCTCAGTTGTCATCATGAAACAAGAACTCTTGCTTCTTAATTTTTCAGAAAATGGTAACGTACAAAGCTCAGCTTCATTAATACTGCAATGGTCAGGGTTTGAATGGTACAGGAAGTAGGTCACTGAGAGGGTGGCTTTGCAGGCAGCAGGAGCAGAAGCCACCAGGGAGGAACACTTACTTGGGAGTCCCACTGGGCTTCCAGTACCGGCAATATAGACACTGCCCATCCACGTTGACCAGATGAGGGAAGTCTGGTTCTGGATTGTTCCGTGGGGTCTGCCGCGAAGAACCTTCCTCGGGCATCCTGGAAGGGTCTTCAAGTCCTGGCAAGAAAGGCAAACACATCCCAAAGTGAGAAACTCCTAGAGATAGAGGAAAGTCTTGTGCAGAGTCAGGAACATTTTTTAAAGCTGATATTTAAAAACCTCTATTTGAAAGATTTTTAAAAATTACATACGCTTCTTGCAAACCTCCCAAAGACTGAAAATCCCACTTGTTCTTAAGAAAATGCTCACTTTATTTTTTAAGGGCCTCATTACAGCTTTTTTTCCCCCTTCCCATCTGTGTTTATTTTAAATCATTTCAGGAACTTCATCTTAAAGACTATTTTAGCTGTAATCAAGCGGAAATTATAGTCAGCTCAGTAGTTACAAAGACTCAGCTGCAAGAACCCCATTTCCCTTAAGCCTCTGAGGAATCATCTCGGGGGCACAATGACAAGGTAGGTGAGGCTCGGGTTAATTTTCCTCTCCGAAATCCCAAAGACACACCACAAACCTGCTTCCATTACGTCCTGGCTTTCGCATTCCATAACCGCCAAGCCTCAAAGATCACAACCAGGCAAATAAGGGCTGCTTCCTCATCGCGGCAGTCACAGAAGCTCCCGTGCCCCGCGCCCGCCTGGCGCCTGGCGCCCCAGATCCCTGGTTTGGGGCTCCGATAGGTGCCGCGCTCACCGACAGCCCCGCGGATTCCCCTCCCTGCCGGGGCGGACACCGGTCGCCGATTCCCCGCCACTAGTTCCTGTCATCACTTTCCCCAAACAAATCGTCGCCGGGCCGGGAGGCGGGGCGCAGGCCGGCACCCGCGGCAGGGAAGCAGGGTCGGGCTCCGCGCACCCCGGGGCGCCTCGTGGTGCGAGCGCGGCTCTCCCAGGCCGTGTCCCCGTGGGGCTCTGGACAAACTTTGCCGCGCCCGCGCGCGCGCGCATCCGACTGCACAGGGCACAGGTCTGCGGCTGTTCTCGGCACGCCACGGGGACTAGGGACTTCACTGCTCAGGGTCGCCGCACCCGGGTTAGAAACACGGAGTTGGCGCGGGCAAGTTGGTCAGGGTTGCGAGAGGGAACCACAGGGGGCGCTCACACACACGCGCACCCCGACATTCGCGCACACTCGCGCATGCACACGCACGCGGGGGGCGCGGAGCCCACGCCGAGTGCGTCGGGGACCCCGGATGCTGCCCCCACCTCGCAGCGGCCCCGGCGGCCTGGGGCGGGTACGGGAGGCGGTTACCGGGCCAAGCGCGCCGTCACGTCCCCGAACGCCCGCAGTCCTAGTGTGCACGCGCCGGCTCCGCGGCGATAGGGCGCGGCGGCCGCGCCACCACTTTATCCCTGGGCGGCCGGCGGCGGGCGGCGGTGGGGCGGCCGCGGTGGGTGGGGACGCGGGGAGGCAGGCGGCGCCGTGGCGCACGTGTGCCCAGCCCACGGGGAGGAGCGGGGCGCCGCCCTCGCACCCGGCCTGGGGGCCAGCCGCGCCCTGAGGTGGCCGCCTGGAGACTGTAACCGTTCAGGAAAGCACGCGGCGCACACGCGCGCTCACAGGCACCAGGCATGGGGACACGCGCACAGATCTACAGGCGCGTAGCACACGTGTGCACATACATATCACAGATACACAGACACGTGTCCACTTCCCACAGACACTGCACGCAGATGCCACATGCATGCAGGCACACGCAACACAAGCATGGCATTCCTAGAGAACAACACAGGTATACACATGCATTCACATGTGTACACACAGACAGCTCACACAGACACATACCTGATGCAGACATATGCTTTAGACATGTACCACACAAGGCTGCGCCATAAAAGGCTGGGCAGGATACAGGCCAGAGCTGATTGCATTACACCTACAAATGCCCTCCCCTCTATCCATCCCTGCTCCCCATAAAATCTCAGGTGCAAGTGCACAGGTCAGGAAGTCTGAACGCTGTCTAGGATACCTTCAGCACTGGACTTGGAGTGCTCTCCTCCAGGACCTGGGGGTCCCAGGAGGCTGCGGGCTGTGGCGCACCTTTCTTACTTCAGAACTGAAACTGTACCTCTGGAGTACAGCCTAGGTCCTAGGCACTGCTGAGGGTCCGGGACACTCTCTGGCCTCCCTGCCCTGGGGTGGTCAGTGAGATGGACAGAGCAGAAGTGGATGTGGCTTCTTATTGGGAATCAAGGCCGGGGAGGTTTTGGAGCAGTCAGGGAACAAGGAGCCGGGGACATGCAAAGCCGGGCCTGCTAAGCGCACTGGATTTGCCTGGAATGGTGACCAGAGTGTGGTGGACCCTCTCACAAGCCCTTGCTTCAAATGCTCCCACTCCCCAGGTTCAGGTTGAAATAATTTGAAAGTTTTGAAGAGAGGCTTACAGATGTCAACAAGATTTCTGTAGAAATCTAGAGCTCCTCTCAGCTTTGTCACTAATACATGTGTGGTCAGCAGACCAAGAACCCCAGAGTAAAGAAACTGGGGCAAGCACCAGGGTGTGGCTTACTAGGGATCTAGAGGATGACCTGAACCCGAGAATTCAAAGCCAGGCTAGGACCACGTGAGTGAGACCTTAATTCTTGGGGATGAGAATATTGTCCTATATCTTTTTCCTTTTAATTAAACTTTTACCACGAAGTGTTAAGATATTTCTTACTGTGTTTCATGTGCTCCTTTCTTTTTTTTTTTGGACACATTTTTACTGTGTAGTCCAGGTTGGCCTTGAATTCACTATGTAGGCTGTGCTAGTTTCAAACTTACAGTGATCCTCCTGCCTCAGTCAGCTGCTGAGAGTGTAGGCTTGTGCCACCACACCTGGCCTTCTACTCTTTAGCATTCAAGTTTTTAAAAAATGAATTTTTTTTATTTTGAGATAATTGTAGATTCACATGCAGCTGAAAGAAATAATACAGAGAGTTGCTATATGCCCTTTAACCAGTTCAGCTTAGCAGTGACTTACAAAAGGACAGGAGGATTTCACAGCCAGGATGTTAACATTGATAGAATCAAGAAATAGAGCATTTCCCTTGTTGCAAAGATCTCTCTCATGGTTACCCTTTTATGGCCACATCCACTTCCCTGTTATCCTCATTTTCCCCACATCGCCTGGCAATCATGACTTTCTTCTGCATTTCTACCGTTTTGTCAGTTTGAGAATATTTTTTAAACGGAGTCATACAGCAGACGACCTTTTGGCATTCACACCTTGTATTCAGCATAAATCTGGGTTGTTGTGCGGAGGGCTCCAGGCTCCAGGTGCAGCACTTTAACACCCCTGAAGCATACCTGGGCTGTTTTCAGTTTGTGGCTAGCCTTATACAGCTGCTATGGACATCCACGGACTGGCGTCTGTGTAGACATAAGTCTTCATTTCTCTGGAGCTGAAAGCCTGGAAGTGCAGTCGTTGGGCTACATAGAAATGGCAAGTTTATTTTAAAAAACATGGTAAGTTTATTTACCAGTAAGATGCTTTCCAAAGTGGCTGTGCCAGTGTACATTCCCACCAGCAATGTGTGAGAGAGCCAGTTTCTAAGCATTCTTGTTGGCATTAAATATTTTCACCACTTAGAAAAAATTAGCCCCTTTGTTCAGTGTGTCCTTGTGGTTTTATTTTGTTTTGCCTGATGGCTAATGGTGATGACTTTCTTTCCATGTGCTTGTTTGTCATCTCTGTGTCCTATTCAGGGAAATGTCTCCTAATTGTTCTTTTACTGTTTTGTCTTGAGAGTTTTTGAATTATTGTAGACTGGTCAAATATTTTCTTCATGCATAGCCCAACTTTTCATTCTCTTACCTGGGTCTTTTGCAAAGGAAACATTCCAACTTTGGTAAGACCCAGTGTATCAGTTTTTCCTCTTATGGATCATTCTTTTGGTGTCAGGTTAAAGAAGTCTCGTTTAGTTCAACATCTGAAGATTTCCTCTGGTTCTTTTCTGTAGTCTGCACTTTATGTTACTTCTATAACCCATTTAGACTGAATTTTTGTAGAAGGAGTAAGTTCAGGTCAAGGTGCGCTTGTTTATCTGTATGCACCAAGCTGCACGTTCATGGTCTATTGAAAAGCTGATGCTCTTTCCTTCAACTGTTTCTGCACCTTCGCCAAAATTCTGTTTTTCTGCTGTGAATCTTTTTCTGGTTCTCTATTCTGCTCCAATGATCTGTGTCAATTCCTCCAGAACCACACAATCTTCATTACTGAAACTATCTGGTAAACCTTAAAATGGGACGGACCATTTCCTTCTGTTTTCTTATTCCTTTATAAGGTTGATTTAGCTGTTCTAGTTTCTTTACCTTTCAATACAAATTCTGGAATAATCTTTATATTTGTCAAAATATCTGGCTGAGATTTTGATAGGAAATTTATCAAACACATATATCAATTTCATCAGAATTGTCATTTTTACTGTTAAGTATTCTAGCCTGTGGGAGGTTGAGGCAGGAAGATCACAATTTTGAGGCCAGCCTGGGCAACTTAGTGACAATAAAAAGTAAAAAGGGCTGGGTATGTAACTCAGTGTGAAAGTCCTGGGTTCAATCCCCAATATCACAAAAACAAAACAAATCCAAAATGTTCAATCCATGAACATGGTATAGCCACCAATTAATTTAGTTCTGTTTGATTTATTTTATCAAGGTCGAAATATTTCAGCATAAAATCCTGCACATGGTTTGTCAGATGTACACTTTTGTTTCTTTTAACTAACTGTAAATGTCATGTGCTTTTTAATTTCAGTTTCCACACGATAATGTTGAGTTTATGAAAATAATTATGATTGATTTTTGTCTGTTGATCTTGTATTCTAGGGCCTGCTGAGCTCACTTATCATATACAGTAGAGGAGGCTTTGAATTTTGCTTTTTGCTTTTGTTTGCAGCTTTCTCAGGATTTTCTACATTGGGCATAATGGTATTTTCAGTGAGTTTTTTGGGGACAACATATAGTTGTGTCCTTTTTAAAAATCCATTCTGATGTATAAAGAAAATGTACTTATACACCATGGATACTACTGAGCCATAAATAAGAAAATCCTATCAACAACATGGGTGGAACTGGAGATAATTATGTTAAGTGAAGTAAGCCAGACATAAAAAAAAAAACAAGTCTTGTATTGTGTGATCTCACTCTTATGAGTAATTTAAAATGTTAAGGATAAAATGAGACCAGGGAAGGTGGCAGCGATTATGGTGGGGTAAGAAAGGTAAGAAAAATCAGTCAGTGGGTACTAATTTGTGGTTAGATGGAAGCAAGTTCTAGTGGGCTGTTGTACAGCAGGGTGCACATAATTGGCTGACCATGCCAAAAAAGCTAGCTAGGAGAAAGAATTTTGAAATTTTCACTATAAATGTTTTAAGAGATAGATATATTTAAACTGATTTAAGCCTTGAGCAATATACATGTATCAACTTCTCATGTTAATACCATTGATATGTACATTTGATTTATGAGTTAGAAATAAATTTTTTTAATGTGGTCTATTATGCCAGAGTGTACATTTGGATGGGTAATTTTAGACCATTTGCATAATAATTATGTTAGGAGTTAAGTCTGCTGTTTCTCTTTTGTGTTCTGTTATCACAGCTTTCCTTTTTCTGTTTTCTTTTCCTTGTCCCCCTGTGGCTTATTTGAACTGGAAATAATCTTGAAAAATATCACGTCCTCTGTTCTGGAATTGCTGGTGTCTGATGGAACATATACCGCCACATGAATGCTTTTTGTCTTGTAAGTAACATGCCATTTCTTTCTCAATACTTTCAAGAACTTTTATTTGTCTTTAGTTTTCAGGTGTTTTACTATGACGTGTCTTGGTGTAGATTTCCTTGGTTTATTTTACTTGGTGTTTGCTCAGCTTCTTGAATCTAAAAAATTCCAGGTTTTTGTCTGCTGCTAAACTGGGGACATTTTCAGCATTATTTCTTTAAGTATGTTTCAATCTCACTGTCTTTTCTCTTCTCCTTCTGGGACTCTGACAAAACAAATATTAGATCTTTTTTTTTACAGTGTCACAGGTCCCTGAGGCCAGGTTTTTCTTTCTTTCCTGGTGTACTTTTTCTCTGTCATTCATCTTGGCTGAATTTGTTCTATGTTTGAGTTTACTGATTCTTTTGTTGTTGCTTTGTTTTGTTCTTGTTTTTTGAGACAGGCTCTTCCTATGTATTCCAGGCTGGCTTTGAACTCACTATATAGCCCAGGCTGGTCTTGATCTAGTGATGACTCTCTTGACTCAACCTCCCAAGTGCTGGGATCAGAGGTGGCACCCTATGCCTGGTTTCTGGTTTACCCATCATCTCCTCTGGCCCCTACACTTGGCCTTTAAGACCATTCATTCACTGGGCATTTCATTTGTTATGGTATATTTCAGCTCTAAAATTTCTATTTGGTTGTTCTTCACATTGTTCCTTTGCTAGGACTGTGTTTCATGTTTTTAGTGTGTCCATAGTTGTTCATAGAAGCATTTTATCATGGCTGCTTTATAATCTCTTTTCTTTTTGTGGGCATCTGTTGATCATCTTGCTTTTGTTAAATGTTAGATATTTTGGTTTCTTGCTAAGCATTTTTCTACTGAAATATGACCACATATTGATCACATCATCAGACCCTGGGCCTTGTTTCGAGCTTTCTGTTTTACCTATTTGGCTCTGAGCTGACTTAAACAAAAGGGTAAAGAACACCCTGCCCTGCCAGTCCCAGAGGGAGCTAGAGGCTCCGGTTTCCTGCTTGGCCTTTGTTGTCATGGCTTTTGGTTTCAGCTCAGCTCCCCTCCTTGTGTTTGAGTGGTACAAAGCAGTTATATTCTGAAGTTTTCTGTGCTGTTGGCTTTGTGAGTTTGCTGCCATGACACTCCTGGGATCCTGACCTCTCCAGAGCCAGGGCTAGAGGCCATGAGTGTGCATGCACGTTCCTGAGGCCTGGACTTGCCTGCCTTTCCTTTCACCTTGCAAAGTCTTTATGTGCTGTTCTATGCCTAAGGCTCAGGAGCTTTAGTGGGATTTAACAGGAGTAATAGGGAAAGCACTTGGATTTCACTTTCGCAGGTACAGAAATCTTGTTGCTGACTTTTCATTTCTGTCTTTTCAAGTTATTGGGCCACCAGGTCCTTCCTGCATTATGCTCACAGACTTCCAGAGCAGGACTGGTTACTGCCATCTCAGAAAAGTGCAAAATGGCTGCATCTGCTCCTATAACCTAGGATCAAAAGCAGGTGGCAGTTCAAAGAAAAGGGACACAAATGTTCTGTGTGACCGTCAGAGATGATCTGGGATTTGAGGAGGGTGGAATATGCTGGAAACTTCTGTAAGGAAGGAGAGAGAAAGAATGAGCCATGAGACAGTAAGGAAACCAAGAATTTCTCTCACTGACAAGTTTAGTTTAGGCGAACACAGATGTTTATAGTCACCAGAATTTTGGTTGTTGACTGAGGAGAGAGGAAAGGGAAGTATAAAAAGAATTAAAATGTCTCAACTCCCCATGATGAATGTGATCATTATGTACCACTAACATGTACTCTTTGAAAACAAAAAATAAATGAAAGGAGTTTTGGATGCTGCATACCTCAGTTATAAATCACTCCGAGTGTGAGAAAAGTAGAGAATAAGAAGAGAGATAGCACATAAAGCAAGTGATGAAGTAGGCTTCATATCGTCAAACCAAAGGAAAATAAGGTAGGCAGAGACATGAAGCTCAGACGAAGCTCCTCTGAGCAGTTCTGCTTTTTCCTGGTGAGCTCCTTTCCCTCACTGAGCCTGTCTTCTCCCCCAAAGACAGGACTGTGAAGACAGGCACCCCACGACACCTACGGGAAACATGGCTGAGGCCCGCTGGACACAGGATCAGCATCGCTCCTGGTGATTTAGCTCACGCTAAACTGGCTGTGGCAGCTTGATGGCCCACAGGTCAAATCTGACCAATAAAAAGTACTTTTCCATCTGAATTTTTGAAATGTGAATTTTAGAGATTGGTGATTTAATGTCGCAAATGTAGAATCCAACCTTCTCTCAAAGAGCAGAGGTCACAGTTCCACCTGCTGTGGTGCCTGTAGGCAGTTGGACTTGTGGGTCAGAAAAAAAGAGGCTGGGTTGGACACAGAGACATGGCAGCTGCAGCCAGGAGAGGGGAGGCGACTGGCAGGGCTGCACATTGCCCTGGTTGGCTGGAGATCTGGGATGAACAGTGCTTTTACACAATTTGAATTGGTAAACAACATTTGAATATCAGGACATTTAGCCCAATGTGGTGGCACAGGCCCATAATTCCAGCCTTCTGGGAGGCTGAGGTAGGAGGATTGCAAGATCAACCCCTACGCGGGCAACTTAGTGAACCTGTCTCAAAATAAAAACAATTTTTTTTTTTTTAACTTTTTATCGGTACCGGGGATCGAACTCACGACCGCCTGCTTGCAAGGCAGGTGCTTATGCCGCTGAGCTAAATCCCCAGCCCCCAATTTTTAAAAAAGAAACAGCAAGAGCTAGAGATGTAGCTAGTGCAAAGGCCCTGTGTTCCATCTCCAATACTACAAAATAACAAAACATAGGTTCGACGCCTGACACCAAAAAACAAACAGAAACCACAACAAAACAAAGAGGACATTTCACATGATGCTAGATTGTACTCCTCTAAAAAGCCAAAGACCTGGGAATACTGCATCTGGGCCTGGCTGCTGCCCTGCATCTGGGAGTAGGCTGCCCCCTGCAGGTGGCTTACACATCTGCCCCTTCCCACCCACTGTCTGTGACACCTCCTCCCAACGCTGGGACTTTCTGGTTTGTGTCCCTGGGTGGTGCCTTCCTGAACTGCAGGATGTAAAGGAAGGAAGGGGAGTTGTTTTGGGAGGTGGTCAGGAGGGGAGGTCTGAGTCACTGCAGACTTGAGTTCTCAGGGAACCCTATCTTTAAATTCTGTGGCAGAGTCCAAAGTGACCCGGAAACCAAGTAGAAGAAGGACAGAGCCATATGTAGTCCTTTCAGTGACAGTGAGGTCACTGTGACCTTGGAGAGAACCTGTGTATGTATGAATCATGGTGGGTGTCAGTTTGCACTGACTCATGAGGTGGGTGTAATGTAAGTGTAAACAGTGAGTGGAGACAGCCCTTTCCAGATGTTTTGTGTGAAGAAGAGGCAGCAGAGAGTAGCTCAAGGCCCACAGACCTTGGAGCTAGAAGGCTGCTCACAGAAACTCCCTGCTCGTGGGTAGGCACCTTAGCTTTTTATCTCCATAAAGGGAGGCTAACTGAGATTGGCCTCTGCCTATTTCATGGCGTTGAATGCAGGTTGAGTCCTTAGCTTAGTGGCCAGGACGTGGTAGAAGGGCACAGCAGGGCAGGATTTCATTATCACCAAGTAAAGTAACAGATGTAGGGGAGAAAGTGAGGGAGAAGGAAAGGCTGACAGTGGGCAGTAAGTCACAGCTGGATTGGAGCAAGAAGTTCTGCACAGGAGATCAACAACAGATAACAGTAATTCAATGCACATTTAAAAATTACAGTAAAGCTGGGTGCAGTGGTACATACCTATAATTCCATTGCTTGAAAGGCTGAGGCAGGAGAATCACTGTGAGTTTAAGGCCAGCCGGGGGCTACATGGTAAGTTTGAGGCCAGTCTGAACTACATAGCAAGACCCTGTCTCAAAATAAATATTGCAGAAAGGATTTTGAAAGTTTTCAGTGTAAAGAAAATGATAACTGTTTGAAGAGATAGATTATGTTTAACCTGACTTGAACATTTTACACACTGTATACATGTACAAAAACATCAATTGGTTCATATGTACAATCTTTGTTTTCAATCTGCTAGTTAAGATAAATTTGAAAATAAGAAATAAAAAATAAAAGAAGCAATAGATGCACATGTGAAAGTTCAAATAAAATCAAAAAGTTCTCACAGTGAACTGAGTTTCCTTCTCGCCCATGCCCACTGTTTTGGTTCCTGAATCCAGGTTCTGTGTGGTTTTCCAAAGAGGTGGGGGCTGAGGAGCATGAGCTGTGCCAGAAATTCCTAGAAAGTGAGAAAGGAAGCGAGAAAGAGCCAGTCAGGGACAGTGGTATGTGAGGACATCCTGCAGAGCTAGAGTGACCAGCTTCCTAGTGGCTCCATGCGGCCAGCTGCCTGTGGAGGGCTCAATGGACAGATACCTCCTGAGCAGGGGATGGTATTTGTGGCCTCTATGGTCACCTAAATGGGCTGCCTGTCCTCAGATGCCTTGCAATGATTTCAAGGTTTCTTCCTCACAGAGGCAGAGCCTGGCTCTCATGCCTTGCATCTGTGCAGGACTCTGACTTGCTGTGGCCAACAGGATGTGGTGGAAATGACATTGTCCCACTTGTGAAATACACAGAGGACACCAAGACTCCCTAGAGAAGAACAATCAGTCCCCAGCAGTAGGTCTCCCTGCTGAGACCAACAGAACCACCCAGCTAAGCCCAGCCCAAGTCACTGTCCCTCAGAATCAACAGCCACATAGTACAGTCTGTATAAGCCATTAAGTCTGGGGCTGGCTTGTTATGCAGTAAGAACTGACACATGCAGCATATTAGCCACTTTGACTTCTTGTTTATTTGTTTGCTTGTTTTTTGAGATAGGGTCTCACTATGTAGTTCAGACCATCCTTGAACTTTCTATGTGGTCCAGGCTGGCCTCATACTCACATCAATCCTCCTGCCTCAGCCTCCCAAGTTCTGGGATGACAAGCAAGCACTACCACATTGGCTGCCTCTGCCATCCTGCAGCTTGAGTTATCCTGTCCCTATAATACATGTGGAACCTGGGACCTGGGATTCAACAGTTCTTAATTTTATTTTTAAGTTTTAAAGAGGATAAAACCAAGAAAAATAAAACAATAAAATCAATAAAAAATAAACCAGTATAAGTAATACAGGACTTCAAAACCTTATGAAACCAGCAATAGTTACCATAGTGCCTTTTGTTGCCTTCAAAATAGCTGCAGATACATGAAATAACAATCCAACAACTTCAAGATGATGCCAAAAGCAACAATTAAGATTAATAGGCATCAGTGAAGATGCAGGAGTCAATGCAAATGACATAACTAAAATATTCACGGAAGTAATAGCAGAAAATTTCCCAAACATGGGGAAAAAATCTGATATGCAGATAAGTGAGGCATATAGAATGCCAAACAGTCACAATCAACATAAATCTACACCCAGACATTAATAATTAAGATCTCAGACATACAGCATAAAAACAGAATACTAAAAGCTGCTAAAACAACTCACTTATCAAGAAAAGCCCATTAGAATCGCAGCAGACTTTTCAGCGCAAACCCTCAAGTCAAGATGAGCTTGGAGTGAGGTATTTCAAGCACTGAAAGAAAACAACTTTCAACCCAGACTGATGTACCCAGAGAAACTGTCTTTCAAATTTAATGGAGAAACAAGATACTTCCATGACAAAATACAACTGAAGAAATTCATGTCCACCAAACCAACCCTAGAAAGAGTGTTGAAATACTAGATAGAGATTAACATGACCAGAATCCCCAGAACAACAACAGAAAGAAAACATCTGGTAGGGCAAGCAATTAAACAATGAGGAAAAGCAGAAAGCAAACAACTGGAATATAAGATGGCAAAGTCGAGTCAGTACAAATCAGTGAGATCCATAAATGTAAATGGCCTCAATTCACCTATCAAAAGAATAGGTTGACAGAATGGATCAAGAAACAAGATCTCACAATATGCTGAATACAAGAAACACATCTGACCCAAAAGGAAACTCATAGATTAAAAGTCAAACGATGGAAAACAGCATTTCATGCAACAGGAGCCCAGAAAAAAAGCAGGGATAATTATTCTGTTTGCAGACAACATGAACTTCAAACTCAAGATCTTAATAAAAAAGATAAAGAAGGTCACTACATACTTGCTAGTGGAAAAATTCAAGAGGAAGAACTAACAATTATAAATATATATGCACCAAATACAGGAGCACCCAACTATATAAGACAGATATTAATGGAAAACCAAATACACAAGAACACAATTATAACAGGGCACCTTAACAGCCCATTGTCTTAAAGAGATAGATCAACTAGACAAGAAGTCAGCAAAGAAATAATAGAACTGAATCATACCTGCGAGCAATTGGATGTAGTAGATGTTTACAGAGTGTTCCACCCAACCACATAAGAATACACATTTTTCTCAGCTGTGCATTCGACATTCTCCAAAATAGACCATATATTATCCCATAAAACATTCTTAAATAACTGCAAAGGTATTGAAATTATCCCATGTGTAATATCTGACCATAGCACATTAAAATTGGAAATTAATGGCAAAAGAAATTGCAAAATATGCATAAATACATGGAAATTAAACCACAACCTTTTGAACAACCAGTGGGCTCTGGATGAAATTAAAGAAGAAATAAAGCAATACCTACAATTCAATGAAAATGCAGAAACAACATACTGCCATCTGTGGGATGCAATGAAAGTGGTCTTAAGAGGGAAATATGTAGCAATAAATTGTCATATCAAGGAAACAGAATGAGCACAAATAAACAACCTAATGCTTCATCTCATCTTCTAGAAAAAGAAGGGCAAGTTAAACCCAAAGCTCATAGAAGAGAGGAAATTGTAAAGATTAGAACAGAAATCAATGCAATTGAAACAAAAAATACAAAGAATTAATGAGTCAAAAACTGGTTTTTTGAGAGAATAAACAAAATTGACAAACCTCTAGCTAACCTTATAAAGAAAAAGAAAGAAAAAACCCAAATTCACGCAATAAGGACTGAAAAGGGGGAAATTACAACAGATCCCATGGAAATACAAAAGATCATAAATACCTACTTTGAAAATCTCTATTCACATAGAGTGGAAAACAGAGGAAATGAACAGATTTCCAGAAACATATAAACTACCAAAGCTCAACCAAGAAGATATAGCAATTTTGAATAACCCAATATCAGCTTTTGAAATTGAAAATGTAATTAAAAACTTACCAACAAAGAGAAGCCCAGGTCCTGATGGATTCACGGCTGAATTCTACAAGAAATTTAGAGATTTGATTCCAATACTCCTTAAACTCTTCAATGAAATTAAAAGGAAGCAATCCTCCCTAAATCATTCCTGGAGGCAAGTATTACTCTGATATCAAAACTAGAGAAAGACTCAACCAAAAAAGAGAACTATAGGCCAATCTCACTAATGAACATTGATGCAAAGATTCTCAATAAAATACTGGCAAGTAGAATGCAGCAAATCATCAACAAGATTATATGTCATGACCAAGTGGGATTTATCCCAGCAATGCAGGGATGGTTTGCATATGCAAATCAGCTCAGCAGGGCTTGGGCTTGCCTGCACCAACTTTCTGGCAGCTGTGCTTGGCCAGCTCCAGGGATTTGGGCCTGCCTGCCTGTGCTCTCAGCTTTGGAGACTGAGCGGCCTGGGGGTGAGTGAACCTGCACCATCCAGAGCCCGGGGAAAGAGTTAAGATCTAAGATCGTTGCTCCCACCAGCCAGGGAACTTGAACTTTGCGGCTTCCTGCCACACTGGACCAGTTCAGCAGGGCTTGAGCCTACCTGCCCCCACTCCCAGTGACACTCTCAATCAGGGGAACTGGGCGACCAGAGTCCCAGAAGCTGAGAACATAGAAGAGGATTTCCAATAGGCCCAGGGGAAGCTTTGGAATAACACTTGAAACACGGAAATATAGGAAAATGACAAAACGAAAGACCAAAATACAATCTCAAGCCTACAGCACATCAAAGAAACCTTAAGAGCTATGTACATAGAAGAAAACATATGCCATACACCTGAAATACCTGAAATAATAGCAACTGAAATAAAGAAGCAACTCCAGGAAGCTTCAAAGGAATTCAAACTAGAAATAATCTCCCAGGTAAAAAAAGAAATGATAAAAGAAATGAAAGAGATGCTGAACATATCTAAAGAAGACACAGTTAAAAAATTGGAAGAACTAAACAAAAAGATAGAGTCCCTGGATGAACAATATAAGAAACAAACAGAATACATGAAGCAGATGCAAAGATATATATAGGAAATCAAAGATTCCTTTGAAAGTTGTAAAAACCGCCTCAATGAAAGTGAAGATAGAATTTCAGACCTCGAAGACAAGATTGCTGAAAGGGTTTTGGCCCAGACAGGACACTGTAGCCAATAAAGCCTTGGAGGCAGAACCAAGGAGCTTTATCTTCCCCACCCCTAGAAATTTGCCTCTGACATGAAATAATACCAATGAGATACCTGTACATCCCTAATGCCTCTCAGGCTCCACCCCAAACCTAAGCTACATGTATGCCCCCACTCCATGTGTCCAACGGAGAGATTCCCAGACCCCAGGGAGAATGCCAGACCCCAGAGGGTCGGGGGAGTCTCACTCCGCATTCTTAAAATGAAGTTCATTTATATTTCATACTTCTTATCTTTTCAGCCACGCCACAATTCTATCAATTGCAGCTAGTGAGCAGGAAAGATCTTTTGAAAATAACAAGGAATCAGGAAATAATTCAATAGCTGCAAGATGATGCAAAGAAAACAACATAAGATTAATTAGGGATAAATGAAAAAGAAGGAGACAACATAAAGGATGTCAAGAATATATTTAGAGAAGTGATAGCTGAAAATTTCCCAAACATGAGAATGGAAACTGACATCAGGATCAGTGAAGCATGTAGAACTCCAAATAGCCATAACCAAAGTAAAACTACACACAGACATATAATAATCACCATCCCAGAAATCAAACATAAGAATAGAATATTAAAAGCTGTCAGAAAAGACAGATCACCGATAAAGGAAAACCTATCAGAATCACAGCAGACTTTTCAGCACAATAGTCAAGAAGAGCATGAGTGAAGTATTTCAGATCCTAAAGGAAAGTGATTTCCAACCTAGACTGATGTACCCTGCAAAACTGTCCTTCAAAACTGATGGAGAAATAAGATACTTCCATGACAAAGAACAGCTGAAGATCACCATGCCAACCCTGCAAAGAATACTGAA